AAAACTAAACCAAAAAAAAAAAAAAACTAAATATAAATATAAAAATAAATATAAATATAAAAATAAATATGAATATAAATATAAAAATAAATATAAATATATTTATTTATTTATATTTACTTACTAATACCATCATTCTGAAGAAAGCAATAAGAACAGACTTGGTTGTTCCTACTAAATAAAAAACAGCAAGAAGGGTAAAACTAAACCAAAAAAAACAGAACTAAGTGGAAATATAAAAATAAATATAAAATAAATATAAATAAATAAATAAATTTACTTACTAATACCATCATTCTGAAGAAAGCAATAAGAACAAACTTGGTTGTTCCTACTAAATAAAAAACAGCAAGGAGCTGAAACTAAGTAAAACTAAACCAAAAAAAACAGAACTAAGTGGAAATAAAAGCAAATAAAAATAAAAATATATTTATTTATTTATATTTACTTACTAATACCATCATTCTGAAGAAAGCAATAAGAACAAACTTGTTGTTCCTACTAAATAAAAAACAGCAAGAAGAGTGCTGAGCATTCCATTAGCTACGGGGCAGCCCATCATAAGCATTCCTTCCGTCATACGAGCCTCACGAGAAGCACCACAACCATGGGTGAATGCGTGCAATAAAAACAACGTACTATCCACCGAATAACCTGAATAAATACATATATTTATTTTTTATTTGTTTAGGGGTTTTTTGGGCTTTCTTTTTTTGTATTTATTGTATATATTGACGGAGAAAAACATGAATAGGGAGGCACCACAACCATGGGTGAATGCGTGCAATAAAAACAACGTACTATCCACCGAATAACCTGAATAAATAAAAATATTTATTTTTTATTTATTTATTTATTTATTTTTGTTTAAATTTGGTTTTTATTTTTTGTATTTATTGTCTATAGGTATAGAGAAAAACATGAATAGGGAGGCACCACAACCATGGGTGAATGCGTACAACAAAAAAAAACGGAATAACCAGAATAAATAAAAATATTTATTTTTATTTATTTATTTATTTATTTTTGTTTAAATTTGTTTTTTTGTTTTGTATTTATTGCTTATAGTTAAG